GGGACAATGTAGGTTCCATACCAAGCCTCACACCTCTTATCTCACAGGCCTGTGGGTTCGCTTTTGGAAAATCTGGGTCCAGTACTGACCGCCCCATCTTCCAGATGAGGAAGTTAAGACCCTGAGAGGTCGGGACTCTTGCCCCAAATCTCACTGCTGAGAAGCCTCCGGTGGAACTTCCAGTGGGAAGTTGGAGGCTCTGACTCTGCCTAGGGATTCCGTGTCCCTCTCCCTGAGGTTAGGAGGCTGTGGGACCACGAGCCCTGGCCACAGAGACCACGGCGCACCCGGAAAGTCGAGCTTTCCACGGGCAGATCCACGAGGCGGTCACTGTGTTTCTGAGGGAGGACAGAATCCTCTTGTCACATCACCCTGGAGCAGGGGCCGTTGGAAAGGGCGCAGGACATCAAGCCACTGTGGGTCCTTGGCCTCGACGATCTGAGGGAGGGTCAGGTTGTGGCTGAGCTCAGGGTTCCTCTGAGCCTTTCCCCTCTGGCCACTGCTCCAGAATTTGCCTGGGCTCCTCCCAGAAACCCCCCTAAAGACAGGGCAGCCTGGGTGGAGGAGCACAGGGCCCGAGTTCAAATCCTGATGTGAACCTTCATGATGGAGCCTGGCACATAACAGGCACTTAGCCAATGACAGCTCAAGTCCACCAGAGGCAACGAATACGACTGAGCTGGGGTTCCAGGGCAGGCCATGGCCTCCTGCCCTGTGACTCCAACCTCCCAGTCTCTGCCTCCCCTCCGCTTCTCTCCCTGGAAAAGACATGCACCTTGAGATCTCCCCAGCTAGGGCTCAGGGATGTTTCCTCATCGGCGCCCAGACCATAATACTCATGGTCTTACTATTGCTGCGCATGTTGCAAGTACCGACTTACTGCCTTTGACACCCTCACGAGGTAAGTATTGTTACCTCTTATTTGTACGTGGTCGTGCAGGATCAGAGAGGTACAGTTACTTGCCCAAGGTCACACAGCCAAAAGAAACTCACTTCCCCAGTCAGACACCTAGGGATTTTTTTGCCCGTGTGATAGAGTAACGAGGACGTGGGCTTTGGAATCAGGAAAGGATAGGGCGTAACCCCTGGTGGACTATGTGACTTTGGGCATGTTATTTCCTCTCTCCCAACCCAGGTTTGCCGTGCAGGGTTAGACCAGACCATGTAGCAGGCACAGGGGCCAGGAGAGCATCCATGGTGCTCTGAACCTCCACGAGGTGCCCGGCACACGGTTGGCGCTCCGAGAGGGGCATTGTCCATGCTCCTCGTGGGGACCTTCCGGAGCCTAGAGAGCCTCCCCACTCGGTCTCCTCACCTTTATTGTACAGGGACCCGTCAAAGTAGTAGCTGCCGGTGTAGAAGCCGGTGGCCAGCTCGATGAGGTGCCGGGCCCACGTGTTGCCGGCCCCAGG